AAAATGATATGGACGAGATGAAAATTGGAATCTAGAGTGGTGATAATTTGACAATGAAATTACAAGTTTTAGGAAATCCAAAAAATTCCAAAGGTTGGTACGATATAAATTGCAAAAAGCAAGTCCCATAAATTTTTAACCTCCAAAAATTATTCATTCTATCTCCGAGGAAACTCGAAATTTATTAATTCGAGCCAACCTATACGTTAGCTTGCATCATAAAATGAAACGAAACTGCAGGTTAGCTAAATTTCACTGATGAGGCGAGAGACAGGTAAGGAATAGAGACGGAGGCATAGCAGTGTTCATACCTTTAAAAAATCCTATGAAGTACATTTACTAGAATAAGCACCACTACACCTGTGTCTCTGTTCCTTACAATACTATCTCACCTTATCAATGATACTCCGAGTTGACTGGCACTTTCGCTTCATTTCTCAAAAGCCAGCTGGTTTGGAGTTAACTGCAAGTGGGTTTCGAGTTTTAGACCAGCGCGATGAGTACTGACGCATAGCTTGTTGTTGCTCAATACGTTGAATCAAGTTATCACACAACACAACAAGTTATAAAATACCATTCCATAGAATCTCTCTCAGGTGCTTTGAAGCTTAGTGGTACACCCATCGGCTTTACATATGGGCAAACCCGATTTCAATCTTTATGGATTTGCAACTGACATTTCTTCCTACAACTAACGCTTGGGTCATTTAGGTGCTCATTTCAAACAGAAATGCGAGTTAATGATGCTCGTTAAAAGTTTCGGCCATACTATCATCCCAGCAATTGGTAATCTTATTCGTAGATGCTGTGTGGTGTGCTTTTACTGTAGTCAAATCAAACACTATGCTGAGATTGTGAGAATACGCATGGCGGAGACAGGACTCATAGTTTCTCCGAATGACAACGAAATTGGAGAAGGCAAGAGTGGATTGTGATTTTGCAAAGAGGTGAGGCGTAATTGATGTAGGTTATTCGCTCCTTGTTAACTCTCCTTGTTTGCTTTATACATTTTTGCGTTGTAGAAGAAGATACCCTTATGGAGGTAAGCCAGCAGCTATCTTCATAGTATTAGAGATATGAGAATAGCGATGGTAATAACGATACTTTTCCGTTTTGTTGTCGATTTTATCAGTTTAGTCCTTTTCGTATCACTCATACGTAGTTTTCAAGAACAGAATGAGATAGTTTTCAAACCTCTCCATCAACTATTAGAGTGATTTCCGTCACTTTGTTGTCTTCAGCTACTGGTACCGCCAGGGACTTTTGTGTCTTGAGCTCCGTTTTCTTTCCAGGTTTCGCCTTTTTGAAGGCACTCTTCTTCCCTACATTCTTGTTAACCTGTAACTAAGTATAGCTATTGCAAAAATTTGCTTGAGTTTATTTTTGTTTACCTTCCCTACTGAAAGAGGTCTGCTTGAAGAGGGCTCACGCTTCTGTTCTGACTTTACTTTTGTGAAATTCTACATGATATACCTTCCCACATTGATGTGCTGCATGAGAAAGAATTCTGTGACTCACTTTGTTGCAGTAGTCCGGCATGATGTAGGTGAGAGCGTCTTCAAACCCTTTTCCTTTACCGTGTTCACGCAATATTGTATTTATTAATGCATCCAAAAGATTCTGGTGACCTTTGTTGCATTTCTTCTCAATTTTCTCTTTGAAGCAGGTTAGAAGACAGCGGGTAGAACTGAGATTAAGTTCAATTTAAGACTCTAATCCGGTCGTACACATCAGTTAAAAACGCTAATCTACTTATCTTTTTGATGTTTTGCTCTTTACAAAGCCGGATCTTTTTGTTTCCGTTGCATGTTGAATTGAAAGCGAATTCTTAGCTTGAGGGATAATATACTCGACCCATCGGAAGCTTTACCAAAAGACTGCGGCTACATAAGATTACAACCTTATAGTGAAGTAGGTTATGTGAAAAAACAAAGATTTCTTAGTGCGCGTTTTTCTTACTACTAAAATGTTCGAAGACACACTTATCCCTCCTAAAACATTCATCTCTTTTCTTAATTACTTTCCATTTGTATTCACACGTCGTTGAATCTCTAGTGTTCCCTTTTTTTACTATTTCAGCAGAATCTATATACAAGCTTAGTGCTACTTTTCTACTTGGGCGCCTTACTGCTCTTCGGGCTTTTTCTGGATAGAGATTTATGAGATTTGTAAAGATAATGAGACGCATGATTTTCTCTGCCTTAAGTAAAATTTTCAAATGAAGACAAGTTAAACTTCTGAGAGAGTTTTATGATTGCAGATTTACTTCGAATTTTGTTCTCTCTACGTATTCTCGCTGCCTTCTTGAATGTGAAAAAGTCTTCATTTTTCTTCTATCCATTATAGTATATAGATGATCTTAATGCAATGACCGAGATAACGTACTTGCAAGCTCGGGGAGCATCGAATAACGTATCTAATTTGTTTTTTGATGCGTCATCCAGCATCTGCGCCTGAACTTCGCACCGCGCCTCGCACTCCGGCTGAATATCGCCGATTGTCTTCTT